TTGAGATTACGAAAGAGTTTGAAATTGTCTGAGATTACAAAAGAGTTTGTAGCAGAGAGTGAGATGATTGTGGATGCAATAGAAGTATGTGAGACTCTGTATTTATAGGCAAAATTTTATCACAGAGTAAGGGAGGTTGTTGGTGGATGCATGCATGCATGATAAGTGTCACTCTTGCAGTGTAGGTGCAGGCTAGGTGGCAGCCTTGGGGAAGGCATCTCTGCATGCATGTAACACGATTGGACGTGAAGGGAGGCGCCATTGGACTTGGTGAATGAGTACAAAAGTGAAAGGTGTTGCCATCCCTATTGGCGAATAAGAGGTGGCATGGGTTGCAGTGTAGGTGCAGGCTAGGTGGCAGCCTTGGGGAAGGCATCTCTGCATGCATGTAACACGATTGGATGTGTAGGGAGGCGCCATTGGACTTGGAGAATGAGTATAAAAATGAAAGGTGTCGCCATCCCTGTTGGTGAATAAGAGGTGGCATGGGTTGCAGTGTAGGTGCAGGCTAGGTGGCAGCCTTGGGGAAGGCATCTCTGCATGCATGTAACACGATTGGATGTGTAGGGAGGCGCCATTGGACTTGGCGAATGAGTACAAAAATGAAAGGTGTCGCCATCCCTGTTGGCGAATAAGAGGTGGCATGGGTTGCAGTGTAGGTGCAGGCTAGGTGGCAGCCTTGGGGAAGACATCTCTGCATGAATGTAACACGATTGGACGTGTAGGGAGGCGCCATTGGACTTGGCGAATGAGTAAAAAAATGAAAGGTGTCTCCATCCCTGTTGGAGAATAAGAGGTGGCATGGGTTGTAGTGTAGGTGCAGGCTAGGTGGCAGCCTTGGGGAAGGCATCTCTGCATGCATGTAACACGATTAGACGTGTAGGGAGGCGCCATTGGACTTGGAGAATGAGTACAAAAATGAAAGGTGTTGTCATCCCTGTTGGCTAATAAGAGGTGGCATGGGTTGTAGTGTAGGTGCAGGCTAGGTGGCAGCCTTGGGGAAGGCATCTCTGCATGCATGTAACACGATTGGACGTGTAGGGAGGCGCCATTGGACTTTGCGAATGAGTACAAAAATGAAAGTTTCCGCCATCCCTGTTGGCGAATAAGAGGTGACACGGGTTCAGTGTAGGTGCAGGCTAGGTGATAGTCTTAGGGAAGGCATCTATGCATGCATGTAATACGATTGAACGTGTAGGGAGGCGAATTAGAGGTTGCTTACTATTGGTTTATTCAAATTCAGTACAACCTATTTAATCCTACATTTATCAAAACACTTCTACACTTAATCACTCAAACACTAGAACATTCAAAAATTCAAGCAATTAACTCAAAGACTCAAACAATCAAACACTTAAACCTTCAAACCTTCAAACCTTCAAACAGTCACACAATGACCTCTACACCCCAATATGTGATCAGTTCACATTTTAACGGTGAGACATACATTTGTCCCACCTCTGGGTTTTTGTTTAGAGACACTGAGAACATCTGATTTTGTTTAAACAGGAAAGCCAATTTCTTGTATTTCAAAAAACGATTGGAGGCCAAACTTGGACGAGGTCCCGTGACACAAATCTTTTATCAGAATCTGTTTTTTTTTGTAACAACCAAATAATATTTTATAAGGTTGAGGTTCAAGATGGTGAGGACCTCCAAAATATGTTTTCCAGTCATGAGTATACTGGGTACGACTCTGTTGAGTTGTACATTATGCTGCGAGAGCCTCGACTGTCACAAGTGGTTGATCCTCTGGAGACCGAACAAGCAGAAGTAGATGTCGTTGATGAAGAAGAAGAAGATAACGAGTTGGAGTTTGACGACATGGTCAATGATGATTCCGAAGATGATGGGATACCTGGTATACCTTCAAACGAGATCTACACACCACCTTCGCACATGACAAACTTCAACATGGACGGAGATGAACCGTCATTTGATTTATTTTTCAATTCGTATATGCAGTCGGATGAAAACTTAAGAGAAAGACAAATTTCGTAATAGAGAAGAATGTATCCGAGCCATAAAAAAATTTCACATGCTCAACTCGGTCTATTTTAAGGTAGACCGTGTAAATCCAGAAAGGTACAAGATCAAGTGTATTCACCCAGATTGTATGTTCAAGCTCAGTGCATCATACAGATTAAGTGGTGATTGTTGGGTCATAGATTATATGTCTACCCACACGTGTGTCAGTTCTACTCAATCACAGGATCATCGAAAACTAAATCATGATCTCATATGTCAAGAAATCCTACCCATTGTCAGCAACGATCCATCATTGAAGGTGAAAACCATAATCTCCCACATCACTATAGTATTTAACTATACTCTGTCTTACCAAAAGGCGTGGTTAGCAAAGACCAAGGCGATTGAAAAGGTATATGGAAACTGGGAGGAGTCATACAAAGAACTTCCTCGCTACATGAATGCACTTCAAACTTATTCTCCGGGTACTGTTTACATTTTGGAAACACTGCCAGCGTACGCCCCAGATGGTAGTCAACTCACCGAAAATGGAATATTCATTCGAGTGTTTTGGGCTTCTCAACCTTGCATCACAGGGTTTGCGTCATACAAACCAATTATTCAAATTGACGGGACTTGGTTGTATGAGAAATACAAAGGCACACTACTTATGGCAGTTGCACAAGATGGCAACAACAACATTTTCCCAATTGCCTTTGCCCTAGTCGAGGGAGAGACTGGTGGTGCTTGGAGCTTCTTTCTCAAGAATCTCCGAACACACGTGGCTCCTCAACCAGATCTCTGTTTGATCTCTGATAGACATGCATCTATTGAGAGTGCATACAACAATCCTGCAAACGTTTGGCATGACTCTCCTTCTACGCATGTCTATTGCATTAGACATATTGTCTAAAATTTCACGAGGGAGATCAAAGACAAAGCTCTTAGGAAAGAGGTTATGAATGTAGGATATACATTGACACAACCTACGTTCAAATATTATCGCAACGAGATCCGATTGTCAAATCCGAACGCCAGTAGGTGGATCGATAACATTCTGGTAGAAAAATGGACTAGGTCATACGACAATGGACAAAGATGGGGCCACATGACAAAAAATCTAATTGAATCCATGAACGGGGTATTCAAAGGCATACGAAACCTCCTAGTAACTGCTTTGGTTAAATCAATATATTTTAGGATGGCTTCGTTGTTTGCCAAAAGAGGTGAAATGTGGAATGATGTGTTGCAATCTGGACAACTATGGAGTGAAAGCTGCATGAAGTATATTAAGGCAGAAAGTGCCAAAGCCAACACCCATATGGTTATACGGTTCGACCAACACAACCACAACTTCATAGTCAAAGAGACCATCAACCACAACGAGGGGCTCCCAAGACAAGAGTATAGGGTTATACTACCTTCTCGTTGGTGCGATTCTGGAAAGTTTCAAGCCTTTCGTATGCCTTGCTCTCATGTCATTGCTGCGTGTGCCTATACTCATCAAGACGCATTACAACTTCTGTCTCTCATTTACAAATCTGAAACCTTGCTCCACGTATACAACAACAACTTCCCTTTGGTAGTAAAACCTGATTATTGGCCTGCATACGACAGCGAAATAGTATGGCACAATGACTAAATGCGAAGGAATAAAAAGGGTCATCCCAAAAGTAAGCGCATCACAACTGAAATGGACTCCCTTGACAAGCTGGAAAAAAAGTGTGGTTTATGTCGTCAGGTCGGACACAATCGCAAAAATTGTCCGACTCAGGCTACTAGCTCAACCACATAAAAATTGTATTACAAAACATCTTTACTTTTTTAGGTTGTAAACATTAGAGTTTTACATTAACAACATTTGTTACAATAAAACTTGCGCGAACAACAAATAAAACACGATAATTCGTCTATGAAATTACAACCATTAAAACAATTTCATCTGATCCATGCATCATCAACATTACGTCGCTGTCTGTTTTGACTTCCTCCAACCAAAAATTAGGTTTTCCTGTCGCACGTGAGGTGGCTGTTCTTCTTCGCTGGATCCTTCTAATTTGATCCCCATCCTCGATGTCTCCCTCTAGCCATCGCACCAACTCCCTCTTCAGACGCTCCATGGAGTGAATGTGCCAGAATTTCATTTTCATCAGAGGTTTTGTGGGCGAGAAAATAACGTAACCATCTCTTATAAAAATCATGGGTGATGTCATGACGCAAATACCAGAGAAAAAAATAAGAGGACAATGCGAGAAAGTGTGAAGAATGACGGAGAAACGAGCGAATTATTTAAAAAAAATGCATTTTACCCTAGGAGCCAAGTGAGATGGCGTCTCCATTCACTTTTAAAGTGCATGCGTCATCTCACTTGGCTAAATGAGAGAGCATGCGCCAAGTGAGATGACGCCTAGGACAAAATGCTAGATGCATGCGCCAACTGGGTTGACTCTTCTCTTGTGCAGTTTTCTGAAACATGGTTATTTACATAATTTTCTCATAAACATGATTATTTGTGAAATTTTTTTAACACCTAGTTTATTCCAAAACAAAAATTTGAAAGATAGAGGAAATATATTTGAAATAAATAAAAATTACACAATTAATGCGTTATATAAGTAAGTGGCGTGTATCATTTCTTGCCAAAATTTAAAACAAAAGAATTTTTATTTGATAACTTTTATAAAAAGAAGAATTTAAAGAGATAAACTAAAAGTGGCCTATATAACTGAGGACAAAATTGATAATAACAAATATTGATATTGAGATGTCTTCCAATAAAAATCAGTTACGAAATTGTCATATATAGTATTTGAAAATCAATTATAAAATTTTGAGCTTATAGATTAAATAAATAAATATATAATTTTTGATTTTTTTTTAAGTTCTAATATACACGTGTGATTCATCAACGAAAGGAACTTGAAAAAAAAAACTGTCTTTGAATGTGTCTTTAAAAGGGAGTTTCAAGACGAAAGAAAGAAACATTGGACTATCGGAAGACCAAAAGCCCCAATCCCTCTCAAGCTTCAAGAATGTCAACTATCTCGGTGAGTGAGTTTTCTGTTAAATATTGTTTGTTCTTGATCACAACTTTGATCTTCTCTGATTTTTTATCACAGAATAACATTGTAATTTGTTTGATCATTCATTGTTAGTCTAATCCTGTAATGGAGCCATGCAACAAAGACTCTAAAGAGAGCAATGGTTCTACAAAAGATGTTAGTATGAAGAACTCACTGCACGTGACGATTTACGACCCACACGCATTTGATTGTTGCGTTTGTCTTCAACTCTTGACCATTCCCGTTTTCAAGGTTACCGTTTCAATCTTCTTTTTTCTTTTTCTTTCAGAATAGTTAACTTTTTTTTTTTCATACATGCATCTTGTTTCCTGTGATTAAAATGTGATACTCTACTTAGTTAGGGTTTTCGATCAAAATACTTGTAACAATAAACTTTTAGTACTTCTAAACTTCTAAAATGGTAAAGTACCGGTATCAGGTACGCTGGTTTTCTTGTATATTTATGATTTTTAATTTCTTTGTTACTGTATCTTAACACAATTTTTGATTTTTTAAAAACTTTTATAGTGATGTTATGTTGTGAATCCAACAATTTAGTTCTCTATTCGTAACTTTTTTTTATTTAAAATGTAATATTTCACACCGGTACCAATACGTGCCCCGGGTACCGTACCTATGCATTATAGTCTGATAAGAATTTGTTGTATTGTTTCCCTAAACTTCAATATAGCATTATTCACACAGCTACCAACTATAACGTTTTGGGGACTGTCTGCAATCCCCTATTAAATGCACAGTTTTTGCAGAGAAAACAAATTGGGATGATTTGATTTATATCGAATATACTTTTGAATGCAAGCCCCTATCATGAAACATCTTATTTTATTTTGTTCAAAGTCTAATTGATCATTAATTTTTATGTTGCAATGCAGTGTGATAATGGTCATATTGTTTGCTCAACTTGCTGTGATAAACTTGGGAACAAGTGTGACAAGTGCTCAAAACAAATTAGCTTAAAACGTTCTAGATCCTTTGAGGATCGATTGCAATCTATCAAGATGTCATGCCCAAATGAAAAATATGGCTGCAGGGAGACAGTTAGTTACAGTGGAAAAAGAAAGCATGGAGAAGAATGCATCTATGTGCCATGTCATTGTCCCCTTTCAGGTTGTAATTTGGTTGCTTCATTAGAAGTGTTGTACAACCATTTCAACTGCGAACACTGTGATTCGCTAATCGAATTTTCTTATGGCCACCCCTTTGTTGTCTCCTTGAAGTCTAATGATGAAACCGTGGTTCTCCAAGAGGAAAATGATGGCAGACTATACACTCTCAATAATAGTACTATAACGAGTATAGGAAATGCAGTCAATATTAGCTGCATTGATCTTAACTCTTCTTCTGATGCTGGATATAGTTATGATATATCGGCTAAGTCTAAGTTTGGCATGCTGAAGTTACATTCTTTTCCTAAGAATTTCCAACAGGCTACTTTAGCAACTCAATCATCAGCGTTCCTTCTGATTCCATTGGGTTATTTTAGTTCTTCTGAACCTCTCAAGCTAGAAATTTGCATAACCCCCAAGGTACCTCCTGTCTCCCCCCTTTCATTACTTTAGTAGTTTATTCAATTTGTTCATGATCCGGTTGCCTTATTGAGCTGTAATAAAAGTTGCAAGGGCTTTTGTTTTCTTTCTATCAGTTTCCTCATTGATCAATGTGTTGGCAATTGCGGTGCAGATGAACATATTCGTTGAGACCCTGTCTGGAAAGGTGATCACCCTGATGGTTGAGAGTACAGATACTATAGCCAATGTGAAGGAGAGGATTCTTGAAAAGGAAGGCTTCCCAGTGCATAAGCAACATCTGCACTTTGACAGTCAGCAACTAGATGACAGCCAGTCCCTTGCAAGTTACAACATCAAAGAAATGTCAACCCTTCACCTCACTCTCTGCCTCCTCTAGAAGTTGAGATCAGACATTATACTTTTGCACCTCATGTTTAAGGATCTGACTTGTGCTTTTTTGTGTTTATTTTGCTTGAGCTGTGTAATGATCTTTTGCTGGGTGTGGTTTTTTGTAACTGAAGAAACAAACTTAAGTTTAACATTAGTTGTAATTGTAGTCTATTCCTCTTGCAAAGAGATGTAATGATGACTCTTGTAGTATAGTCTTTTTGAAGCTTAATACAGCACACCGAAGACTGATGATTTGAATCTGTTTTAAAAGAAGTGGTGAATATAAAAGAAATTAAGAGTTATGTATGATTCTGCGAGTGAGGTAAATTTACATAGTTGAGTTATGCAGGGTAAACGCAGAAGATACAATGTTTTTTTATTTATGGAAGAGTATGGTATGGTTACACAGGTTTTTTCTTAGCAAAACTTTACTCAACCACTGCAATATTATGGTGTGAGGATGAAATTCTGAATCTGGGAAATTAATCAAAAGGTGTTAAATGAGGAAAAAGAGAAGGAAGATTATAACTCAGGATTAGAATAATGGCTTCAGTTTAATTTACCATTAAATGTCACTAGTGACAATTTTTAGTAATGGAGTAAAAGGAAATAAACCTTATGATAATTGTTGTGCGGCCTTTGTTGGTGCACAAGGCTAATAAATGAAGAAAAGATAAGAGAGAATATATTTATTGCAATGATGGCTAGAAAACTTACAAAGGAATCATTAGAAGGTTACAAATGACAGTTATCACTAGTCTATTTATACACAAAGTAAATTGTCGCGTCGGTCATAACAAAAGTAAATTTAATGAGTAAGTTAAAATGTACAAACTAGGAAATACTAAACTTAACAGATACGCTAATAAACTCAATCCAGAACTCCAGAAGCTAAACATACTTTTGGGCGTAACCTCAGAAGCTTTTGCTTCTGATTATTAACAACTCGTGATTACGTCAAACTACTGCTTCTAACTAAGCAGTCTCAGAAGCTTACAACTTCTGGCTAACAACTTCAGAAGTTCTACTGCTTATGAATAACAACATCTTCTGAATATGAATTACTTCCAACACCATCCCTTAATTCATATTCAGCTAACCAAAACTCTTCAACACCAATTTTATCCCTCAAACGGATAAAATGTTTAGTCTTGACATCCTTCAACAGAACATCTGCAAGTTGCTTCTGGTTGCTACAATGTGCAACTTCTAATACTTCATTTAGAAGTGCAGATTTCTCCTTGAGAACCCATCTGACGCTGGTGTTTTTCTTCTCCTTTAGAAGTCCAGTTAACTCCCAAGTCTTGTTTCTAACAATAGCATCAAGATTTTCTTTCATGACCATTAGCCACACTTTCTTCTTGAGAGCTTCATAGGTTGACAACGCAACCATCAGTTGCTTCTTGGAGCACCGAAAAATGGGACTTTTACGATACAAACAAAAATATCCAAAAATATTTCTTCTGTCAACTCTGTCTCCATACAAATCAGAGTCTGAATAGCATATCAGCTCTGCATCTGATCTAACATCAAAAGAGAATTACACTTCATACCTTAGAGTCCCCTCAGTATCTTGCAGCTTGTCAAACTCTGCAAATCTCCTTGGTATATTTATGACTCTATGTGGTCTCTGAACTTTTTCAGAACCTCCTTCTGATTCTGGAACAATATCTCCTTCTGGACTTTCTTCAGAAGTTTGACTTCCACCAGAAGCTCCACCTTGGTTAGCTTCTGGACCACGTTCAGAACCACTACTTTCAGAAATACAATCTTCAAAAGTTGGATCGCCTTCAGAAGCTCTGCCTTCAGAAGTTCCACGTTTAGAATCATGTCCTTCGTCAAAGGCTGGATTTTCTTCAGAAGCTCCTCCTTTAGAAGGTCCATCCTTAGAGTCATGATTTCCACCAGAAACATGATCATATTTAGAAGTTTGTCCTCCAAAACATATGTCTTCATAGTTTTCCCTTCTAGAAGCATGATCACCACCAGATTCTGGATCATCATCAAAATCTGGATCAAAATCAGATTCACCGTATGACTCATCTTTAGAGTCTCCAGAAGATTCTTCATCTACTGACTCTAGCTCTTTTTCAAAACTTTCAAGTTTTGACTCATCTTCAGAACCTCCAGGTTCTGATTCATCTTCAGAAGCAGAATCTCCTTCAGATTCTGACTCATCTTCTGATTCTTCTTCAGACTCAGAATCACTTTCGAATTCTGACTTGTCTTCAGCTTCAAAGTCATCTTCTAACTCGGACTCATCTTCAGAAACCTCAGATTCTGACTCATCTTGAGAATCTTCAGCGTCATCTTCTGATTCTGACTCATATTCAAACATTCCTTCAGAGTCAGAATCTTCGAAGTTATCTTATTCCCTTTCAGAATCAGAAAATAACAATTTCACAGGTTCCTCATCAGATTTATAAGCCATTAATAGCACATGCTCATCATCTAAATCTCCTTTGGCTATTTTTGCTTCTTCTTTGTTTGACCAACAATATTTAGCAAAGTGGAAAAACTGCTTTCAACAGTAACACTGAACCATTCTCTTGTCATACTTTTCCTTTCCCTTCTAATGTTTCTTTTCGTCAGAATAGAAGATTTCTGACTTCTGAGACCTACCATGTTTCATTTAATTAGTGATCAAAATCACTCTAGAGATGTACTCAGAAACCTTCTCACTGTTCTTCATGTTAATATTCTCATATTGCTTTCATAGAGACTGAAGCTTCACGACCTTCTTCACTGTTGCGTCACCACCGTAACATCTGACCAGTATATCCCACACACTCCTTTGATGTCGTCGAATCTGCAGTCTTCTCAAACACATTCACATCCGCACACTGATCTTTGTTTCTCTTCCCTCTTTATTCGTTTCTATGCTCTTCTGTTGCGTTTTCTGCAAATGGAGCATAACACTTGGTAACAAGCTTAAAAACATCTTGCGCACCGAACAACACACGCATCTGAATCATCTAACAATTCCAGTTCTTGCTATCGAACACTGGAAGTTTGGTACTCATATTTTCATTTCCATTTGTTGTACCCCAAAATTTCCCCGCCCATAATTCTCAAGACATGTCAAGAATAATCTCCAAGTGGCTTAAGTTTGCTCAAGAGTTGGACAGTCAAATCATCTCCTAAGGCAGTCAACCTCAAATTAGGGTTTTGTGTTGCATCAAGGTCCTTACATCCAAATGACCTCAAGTGCTCCCCAATGCCTTAATATGTTCTCAAGTTCATCCATGTCAAATTTCAAGCCTTGCAGAGGAAGTTTGGCCAGTCAATTGCTCAAGAGGTCCAAAAATCGACTATGCTAGGGCAAAAGTCAACTGTGACCTATAAATAGTCAAACCTCAAGATTTTTTGTCAAAATTCTCATTTGGAAGTATAATTCATCATTTGATCAAGGGTTGATCATGATTCATCAAGGATTGCTCAAGATTCATCAAGATTCAAAAGTTGCTAAATTAGGGTTTTGTAGGAAAAGTCAACTCAAATTTGACCAAGCATAACTTTCTCATACTTTATGAGAAATGATCCATACAAAGCTCATTTTGAATAGGATGCAATTTCCAACAATCCATATTCACACCCCAAGATCAAGAAATGCACTCACAAAAAGTTGCAAATTTGGACATTATAGGTCATTTTTGAAAGTCAACGAAAACAACTTTTTTTCCAAAGCTTATAACTTGAGCATGGAATATCAAAATGAGATGAGACCAAAATAGTTGGTTATAGGGCATCTCAAGGTTTCTAAAAAGTCCAAGAACACCTCCAAAAGTTCAAAATTGAAGAAGTTATGCATTGTTGAAGTTGGGCATTTTTCCAAAATTGCCAAAAGTCAACTATCCCCAAAACTTCAAATTTTGTCAAATGGACCCACTTTTTTCCACTTAATTTGATCTTGTCACACTACACACGTGTCCTATCTTCAGTTTTGTTTCCATTCATTGATTTTTCTATTTTATTTGATTTTTATTAATTTAATTCATTTTAAATCAATTTAAAATCAAATAAAATCCAAATCTTGATCAGTTGGAATATTTTTGATTGATACAGGTCTTTAATATCATTATGGACAAGATCAAACTCGTATCAAGCCTTATTATGCACAAAATATTGGATTTTTGATCAAATTGGAAAGGTTTTCATGGAGGATCATATCAAATCTTAATTCATCAATTCACAAGGATTCAAAGCCCAATATTTGACCTAATTCAATGCTTGATACATATACAACACAAGGCATACGAATTCATAACCAAGAGGCTGCTAATTCACAAGGACAAAAATTGAAAAAAAGCTTGAAAAAGTGTGGAATCGAAATCTTGGTTAGAGGCCAATTCAACACAAAAACTCAACGTAGACTTCTTGTTTGATATCCACTAAAGCTATTGGAATCAGAATCAAGCCCTCTCCCTCCCTAAATCGCACTGTAAGTCTCCTTAAACATACCCATGCACACGAAACTGCAACCTCTCATTCTTGCATTTTTTTGACAAACTATTGGCATGGTTATGATCCTTGTGTGATTTCTAAGCGTTCTGCAATATTTGATTTCGTTTTTATGGCCTGTAATGTAATACCTGAACCTAGGGTTTCTGTTTCTTGTTTTTAGGCGTTTGCTTTGCAGGAAAAATTAGGACCAATAATGGATATAGATGAACTCAGGAGGAAGAGACGATCACGTCCATGTTCTTGGATTGCATTTTTATGGCTTAGGGCTCATTTTAGGATGAAGCCACGGATCTTGCTGCGGATAAAAATCCACAGGTAAGAAAACCAGGTTGTGACGAAGAAGATGACAACGTGTCCTCTCCCAACTGGCCCATTCAAATCTCGCGCCTTATTTTTTTGTTTGCTGGCATTTATTTGTTTTTGTCCATATTATATTTGGTTTCTAATGTTATAACAATTGGGTGCGTTAGTTGAGTTGGCAAGCGTGGTGTACCAAAGTCCAATGGGACCTGGGTTCGAATCCCAGGTCCCCCATTTATTTGT